TCTGCAGTCTTCTGTGTAGTTTCCATATGTTTAGCTTATATATATAGTCAAGTTAGCTAACATACAGTGTATACAGTGTGTTCTTGGTTTTGGGATAGAGTCCCATGATTCATCTCTTACATACAACACTCAGTGCTCATCCCCACAAGTGCCCTCCTCAATGCCCATTACCTATTTGCCCCCTCCCCCATAGATTTTTTGTTTTTGATTTTTGTTTGCTTATTGGTTGGTTGGCCTTTTGCAGAGTTCTCAAATTTTTCTTTCTTTTTTTCTCCTTTCCCCTTAAAGAATTCCCACACATCCAAAATGTGCTTATTTGGTCCCCATATCAGTGTCAGGCACCCAGCACACACTCTCAAGACAAGTTGCGTTTTAGTATTGAGCATTATCTTGAAGTATTTACTCTTCGATTCCACAAACATTCCCCTCTTAATGTATCTCCTTTAGATAATCGCTATTAGCTTGATATTGAGCGTTGTTCAGAAGTGCTAGCTAACACTACGATCTTTAAGTCCCAAATCTATATGAACAAAACTCTTCATTAGGGCTTGCTTTTCTCCAGTATGGTCTGCTTCCTAGTTGCAGAAACGACTGAGTGGCAGGACACCTCCCTACACTTCTCATGTCCTGCCTCTGTCTTCTCTTTGTTGGCATATGTCCCACTGATAAAGTCAGCATTCTTAGCACCCTCTGGCAATGACAGGGGTATTTCAGACTCCTTGCAGTGGAAAGGTACTTCCTGTGTGAAGTCAAAGTTAACAATGATTTCCACCTTTCAGCTCACCATGAAGTTTTCTATGTAAACCTATTATAAAATGTTCCTGGAGGCAGTTGAAGCAAACTATTAGTGCCGTGAAGGAGGAAAAAAAAACAAACAAACAAACAAAAAAGAAGTTCTATGGGAGCTTAGCAGAGAGTCTTGAAAGTATCTCCCTCAAATAAGTTTTAATCTCTCCAAAAAATTAAATATTTATGTAGATGTGTCTGTAATGAGGCCATGCTAATTCCGGCTGTGAGCTGATGAGCTTTCCTTAAGCGAGGAGAGAGATCATAAGACACCACAAAGAAGTGTTTCTTTCTTCCTTCAGTGGCTGCGCCAGAGGTCTGACCAATTCCCTCTCCTGTTGTCATTGGATGACATCCCCCCAAGAGATGAGTAGCCAGATCTGTGTCTGGATTATAGGCAGGAGGAGGGCAGAGGAGGTGGAAAAGACTGAGGATGAGGTAGGGCCGGTGGGCAGTGCCATCCGCCTTGTCACTGAGTGACAGAGGCCAACAATTTTCTCGACATGATTAGTACAGGAAAGCAAATTAAACAGTTATTAAAGGGAGGCAGTGAATTGGTACCTGGCAGTAGGCTGTGAGAAGATCTGTCAGTCTTCTTTATTAATTGAAAAAACTGCCTTCAGGGGAATCCTTTCTAAGCATGTTTACTTAGCAAGTAACCTATCATTGTTATTAGCAGTAACTTAATAATAACAATAATAATAATAATAATAATAATAATAATAGCAAATATTTTCTCTGGAATGATAAATCTTGGAGGGTATTATTATTTTGCTATTATTATTGCTCTTAGTGTGAGAAATGTGTCTCTCTCAGGCAGGGCTCTAATTCCCAATTTTATGAGTACTATATATTCTTATACTTAGGCAAACAGATTTTGTTTACGAAGGACTTTCCCCCCTCCCTGCATTACTACTCTGGAGCTTAACTGTTTCTAAGACAAGCATGCCAGTCTGAGAAGAGGGTGTTATATGCCATCAGTGGAATTTTACATTTTCAAATAATGAGCAAGGGAGCTGCAATGTTCCTGAATGCTCAACGGCATATAAGCTTGGATTTTGAGTTTTCTTTCATTTATTTCATCCAGGCATAAGCTGGACAATGATTAGCTATATTGTGGCAGGGATGTCAGTGTCAGATAAGAAAATGGACTCTCCTTTAGCGTTCCTTCTAACCCTGAAAATCAACAGTTCTGTGTTTGATGATGCTATACAAAGAATGCCCAAATGATCAAGAGAAAGCTGTGCCACTTCTGGGAAAATAGCACTGCTGGATTCCTGCTTCAAATAACCCTTGGCCAGTGAGGGCAATGTCAGGAACACTCCATCAAATCTAATGTTTGGGTTAAGGAAAAAAAGTGAAGGATTATTTTCTTGCTACTTATGATGTTCTGTGAACATCTCAGGTAGAATACAGACCTGAGATATGCCCATTAGTCAACTGAGACTCACTCCTAGCAGCTGAGGTCCAGAGTGGACTGAAAAGAAAATTTAGGCAGGAGTGTTTTTGTCTCTTTTCATCCCATCTCCTCGCTCTTTTGTGCACACACATACACACTCACACGCACTCTCATGCACACACATGCACACACATGATTTCACTCTTTGTTTTCTACACTTTTCTCACTATTTGTCTCCAAGGAAAAGTTCTTTATCCCGCTTTGTACACCACTTCCTTCCTTGTCCTTTGTCAATAAAAGGAAGCACCTTCTAGACCAGTGCTTCTCAGTTTTATTTCAACATTAGTGTGTCTAAGAATCACTGTGGATTTTGTCAAAATGCAAGTTTTAATTCAGTGCATCCTGGGTGGGACTTGACATTGTGAATTTCTAGCAAACCCTTAGATGATGGAGATGCTTTATCAGTGGAGCACACTCAAAGCAGGAAGGGTCTAAACCAGCCTGCTTGTCTTGTTTACTTTGTCCTTCCTAAAGAGTGACTAAGGAATAACATAATCTTCTTCCTCTCTCTCCTGGCCTCCACCAGAAGTGGAGTAAGAGGGACAGCTACAGGGCTGAGTATAAATGATTCACACCACAAGGAGATAACAGTGAAATGGGACACTGCCTCTTTTCTCTTGCCTGACAAGTATTCTGACTTGCAGTGGCCAGAGGCAGAGAACGGTTCAGAATCATATTCGTCCCATAACCAAAACTGTTGGTGAAAGTGGATAAAAGCTCTAAAGACTTGAGACTTGAGATAAACCCACATATCTGAAGTGTCATATTGGCCAAAGATCTCAAGACATATATTTTTTTTTTAATTTTTTTTTTCAACGTTTATTTTTATTTTTGGGACAGAGAGAGACAGAGCATGAAGGGGGGAGGGGCAGAGAGAGAGGGAGTCACAGAATCGGAAACAGGCTCCAGGCTCCGAACCATCAGCCCAGAGCCTGACGCGGGGCTCGAACTCACGGACCGCGAGATCGTGACCTGGCTGAAGTCGGACGCTTAACCGACTGCGCCACCCAGGCGCCCCTCAAGGCATATATTTTTTAAGTTTATTTATTTATTTTGAGAGAGAGAGAAAAAGAGAGAGAATGGGAGAGAACAAGCAGAGGGAGAGAGAATCTCAAGCAGGTTCCACTCAGCTTGGAGCCAGCTTGTGATGTGGGACCAATTCCCATTCAGTGAGATCATGACCTGAGCCGAAATCAGGAGTCAGATGCTTAACTGACTGAGCCACCAGGCATCCCTCAAGGCATGTTTTCTTTATTTTATTTTATTTTACTTTACTTTTTAATGTTTATTAATTTATTGAGAGCTAGTGTGTGAGAGGGAGACACAGAATCCGAAGCAGGCTCTGCGCTGTCAGCACCGAGCCTGATGCAGGGGCTCGAACCTATGAATTGTGAGATCATGACCTGAGCCTCAGTTGGATGCTTAACCACCTGAGCCACCCCCAAGGCGTGTGTTTTCTTATGCGTTTAAAAAGCAATCCTTTGTAAAACACTTACCACCAACTTATCAGAAATTTGACAGTGGTTGGTATGTTTTACCCTATAATTTTATTTTTATACCATCTTAAATTTCTTATTTGCAAGGCACACTAAAGAACTATAGAGAATTAGAGAAATAAAGGTGGAAAGGGAGGAGCAAAATTGTGCTAGTTAGGTTTAAATTACCACTCTGAGTGGTGAGAAGGAGGGGTAAGGGATATAATGTTTGACTCCAGAAATTCAGGGATGACAATTCTATGGTTTATAGTGAAAACTCAATGAAGGGCTAACTCAGGAAAAAGAAGATGGAAATAAGGAATATAGGAGGTTGGAGAAAGTTCACAGAGAGGTAGAATTGAAGATATATTCTAAAGGAGATGAGGGAGAAGGGAGTAATCTGATATAGAATACCAGATGCTTTGCCTGATAGTGTTCAACTTGCCTGGTAAAAAAGAGTGACCAGGCTAAAGAAATGAATTTCTATTTTGAATGATACACTTCTATACATAATATTCTGTTTTGGTAAAATATGTTGAGGGCAAGAATTTCATCTATTTATCTCTGAGTCTTTCTCTCTGACTTTAAGAGACAGAGCCTAGCATGGAACTAGAGCCTAGCATGGAACTTGACACGTAAATAGATGCCTAATAAGTGTTGAGTGCAAGAATGGATAAATGAAGGGTAAGATATCATCAAAATTCTTAGTTGTGACCAAATCTCAATGTATAGAGTATTATAAGAGACAGATTTTGGGGCACCTGGTTGGCTCAGTCAGTTAAGCTTCCAACTTCAGCTCAGGTCATGATCTCACGGCTTATGGGTTCAAGCCCTGCATCAGGCTCTGTGCTGACAGCTCAGAGCCTGCAACCTGCTTCAGATACTGTCTCTCTCTCTCTCTGCTCCTCACCTTCTCACTCTATGTCTCTCAAATAGGTTGATAGGAAGCAGATAGATATTAAAATATATAATGTTGGGGCGCCTGGGTGGCGCAGTCGGTTGAGCGTCCGACTTCAGCCAGGTCACGATCTCGCGGTCCGGGAGTTCGAGCCCCGCGTCGGGCTCTGGGCTGATGGCTCGGAGCCTGGAGCCTGTTTCCGATTCTGTGTCTCCCTCTCTCTCTGCCCCTCCCCCGTTCATGCTCTGTCTCTCTCTGTCCCAAAAATAAATAAACGTTGAAAAAAAATTTTTTTTAAATATATAATGTAACACAATTTAATCTGTATCTTGATTTGATAAGAGTGGGAGTGAGTAGGAAAATAAGGACAGGGATAGTTATCTCTTTAATACTGGTGCTTTATTGATGATCACAACCAGCAAGGAAGTCAAAAAGAGGATTCTTCCATTCCTGTGGAAATAACAAGGAAGGGAACAACATCTGGTCCTTTCTTTCTCAATTTTCAATGAGGAAAAAAAACTACACATGTATACAATGCATCCCTTCAAAGACTTTGACATTCCATGATCCTGACATAAGTTGTGGGATAGGGAAATTTTATGAACTTGTTTGAGGTGGAGAAATCAGAAGGCAGAGACTCTTGCTAACTGTGAGTCTCCTGCCCATCTTCCCATCCCTAATAAGAACCAGGGAACAGTAAAGGCATCACTCAGGAAAGAACACTAGCAGGAATGGGGACAAATCTCAGCATGTCCCTTTTTCCAGGGACCCTCAGTGCCCCCTTGGATTTCAGCCACAAAAATATAATGCATTTCAGCATAAACCTGTAACAGAGATCAATTGTTATCAACCAGATGACAGCTGAGAGAGGGGACTCTGGGGAGACACTCCAAATCTCCCTTGAGACGTCAGATTTGGGTTCACATCCTGAAAGAAGATGCAAGTGCTTTTCTTTGTGACCAAAAGAATCTTTGTAATGTTCCACATGCTAACTAGTATGTTTTTCTAAGTTTCTGTTTTTTCGTATTTCTTTGCATCTCACACATTACCATTCCAATAACCCCTCCAACAACTTAGTTTTCCTGATCTATCCAATTAGTAATATATGTAAAGACATTTGTGAGAAGAAAGCCCACATCTTCCTGCCTGCTCTCCTTCATACTTGAACATTAGGTCCAGTACAGATCATCAACATAGTGCCCCCTCTGAGGTGCTTTGAGTGAGGTCTCAGCAAAAACACACGTTTGATTGCTTACGGGAACAGGGTTAATTGCCAAACTCAGTGCTTACACGCACAGACAGGCAAGCATGCCTTGCCAGCTTACAAATACATGAAAATCAAATTACCCAGCTAATAGGCTAGATGTGGTTTGGGTTTTTATCCTCCTTTTACTAACATTCACCCACAGAGGGAAGGGTTAAAGGTGGGACAGTCAGCTCACACTGAACATATCCTTTTTGATTCTAGAGTGTTTTTAGCTTCATTTGTAACATTTCTTGTTTATTTCATTTTCTTTGCAGGCTTGGGAAATTAGTCATTTTCTCAGAGAAAATCAGATAGTGGACATAAATCATTTGATCTCTAGGGCATTCATTTTAAACCATCTCAAAGTTCTCACTTCCCAAAGTTCTTATCATCTACTGACTGAGGAAAGAATAGATGGCTACCCTCTTCTTGCAGATAGACAGTTATTCACATAATTTAAAACCCCACCAGACAAGTAATTATACATCATCTCCCCCAAGGTATCTTCTACCGAGAAGGCAGATGACAGGGGATGTTTCATATGAGATGGTGAAAGGGGGCCAGGGTCCTACATTGAGAGCTATGTCCTGCTGTCTTTACTCACAAAGGAAAAAACTGCTTTCATCAGAGATTTCACCTAGCAAGTGGACTCTATAGATGAATGGAAGGGATGGATAATGTATTCATACCTCCTTAAAACACAATTCTAAAACAACGTGGCAAAAAGAATAAAATAGCAGGGATGTATGGCAACTACTTGAAAAATTAGAATGATTTATATTACCATAGCATCTACTAAAGTCATATAACCTCTCTGAGCCAAATATTAAGTATTTTTCATTAGTAGGGTAGAGAAAAATAATAATTCTATTCTCCAAGTTTTGGGTTTTAAAAAAAAAAACTTTTTTGAGGCAGGGGTAATTAAATTATATTCACTCAGTGACTTGAACATACCAAGTATTTACTAAACATTCATCATCATCATTATTTTATTTTGTGAAGTTTTAGAATATGGACTCTTAACCTTTCACTACCAAGTTCATGTTGTTATGTTTTTGTTCTGTGTTTTGTGTTGTTTTGTTTTTTGTGTGTGTTTGTTTTTTAATCAAGGTCCTACATTTGGGAATATTTTCATATCAAAAATATTGTATTAATCATGTAATAATTAACTTGTCCTCCTATTTTTAACTGAAGATACAACTATCAATTATAGCTTCAGATGTTTCTTTTTTTAATTTTTTTTAACGTTTATTTATTTTTGAGACAATGAGAGACAGAGCATGAACGGGGGAGGGTCAGAGAGAGGGAGACACAGAATCTGAAACAGGCTCCAGGCTCTGAGCTGTCAGCACAGAGCCCAACGCGGGGCTCGAACTCACGGACTGCGAGATCGTGACCTGAGCCGGTCGGAGGCTTAACCGACTGAGCCACCCAGGCGCCCCATAGCTTCAGATGTTTTTGATAGCAAGATGTTTTAACACACTGAGTTCCTATTCCAGTTCAAAGTGAAGAGGATGATATTTTAACTAAAACATGTTAAACCATGTAGTCTCATCTTAGATGAATATGAGCTGATTAGTAAAAATATCTCAAGGACCTAGGTGTTCGGAGTCCCTGGGCAAGGACGCATGTCTGCAAAGTCATTTTTACAACTAAAGCTCTATGATGCTGTGGTTGAAGATTCTCGGCTGCTATGTAAGGCCAAGCTAAGGATACATAGTGTAATTTCAGGGACATCGGGGACATCAGGGAGGGTATTTATACCCTTTCCCAAATCCCATCAATTGGATGACGCCTGTAATTTAGCTATAACTTCAGAAGCAGGATCACAATTAATGCAAGAATAATAGAAGAAACAATATTTTAATCGACTATTCAGTTAACATTTATTGTAGGTCAACTATATGCAGCCATTTGCATATATTATAAATGAAATATTTAAGCTGGGGCAGAAAAACGTGAGGGAAAAAAATCTTTGAGCTGTGTTTGCCTGAGTGCTAAAGGGCAATGAAGAAAAACTCAAAATGAGTTGAGGATGGCACATGGAGCCAATTTTCTTTGAAGTGACCAAGGTTCAAAACCTAGGGATCAAATAATCAAGGACTGAAGAGTACAAATTTGTACTTGGGACTGATTTTGTCAAAATGGTCTCTTTCTAATCTGTGCGTATAGGACATTGTAAGAGGGACCCTCATCTGCTTTTTGAAACATGACATGCCACTTTAACATAGCAGGCCACATAAGTTAGAGCAGCGTTCCTCTCATCCCGTTGATGAGGCAGGGCACCAGGACCAACTCCAGCCATCTGCCGTTCTTCAGAACCCCAAAAGGTCCTGGAGCTAATGCAGCTCTGTAGCACTGGAAGTATGAATGAACAAAAAAGGAGGTGACCCCTAATTCTTGTCTCTGCACACAGTAGGAGCTATGGATAGAATGGTGGAACAAAGAGTCTACTCCTGACTCTCACTGGTGGCAAAGACAGCTCTTCTTATGACAGGTGCTCTCTTAGGTGCCTATCATGGGAGGAAGAGGTGAGGCTCAAACCCCAACTCCTGTGTGGAGGAGGCATCATAGGGGCTGGTGCCCCTTACACGATGACAGATCATGAGTTAAAAGCTCAGTCAAAATATGTTCTTGAAACAGCCCAAACACGTAGTTTCCCTGCATTTGAGAGAAAAAAGCTTCTGTACATATATCTATCTACCCATGCCTTTTGCAAGGTTCTCAAGGACAGGTTTGTGTTTGGGGAGGTTTTGTTTTGTTTTCTTTTCATCATAAACTGTCTTTTATTCCTTTTTTTTTCTTATACTTTTGAGTGCTTTATTTCCAAGCATACAGAAAACATTTCAAAGCACTGTGTACCAAGTTAAATATGGGTGTCTGCCTTTCACCACTTTCTCTTGCTTTCGCCATGTCCTAGGAGAAACACACTTGCATCAGCATATGATTAGCCCAATGTGAAGCACCCCAGTAAGCTATGTGCAAAGGACAGAGGAGGAAAGGATTATTAACTCTACCAGAGGGGGCCAGGAGTCAGAGAGGAGGTGTTCGCTGAAAAGAGGCTGAGCAAAAGTTTGCAAGGAAGATGAGGAGAGGTGGCAAAGGTAGAGCATCAAGATGCATGGGGTATTTTTAGAACTTCTAATAATCTGGTGTCTTCCCCCTATACACTGCTTATAGTGATACTTCTGAAGGTAAATGCTATAAAAGAGGTGGAGATCTGGTTAGGGAAGACTTTGTATACAGTGCTGTCTAATTGTATTATCCAAATGATAAAGTAGGACTGGTGTGGGCTGAATTGTGTCCCTCTCAAATTCTATGTTGAAGCCCTAATCCCCAGTACCTCGGGATTTGACTGTAATTAGAGACAGGGCCTTTAAAGAGGTGAATAAATGAAAATGAGGCTGTTAGGGTGGGTGCTGATCCCAGACTGCAAAGGATCCCAGATTCCTTTTCCTTGTAAGAAAAGGAAGTTATGGGACACCTGGGTGGCTCAGTCGGTTAAACATCTGACTTCGGCTCGGGTCATGATGTGGCAGTTCCTGAGTTTGAGCCCCGAGTCAGGTTCTGTGCTGACAGCTGAGAGCCTGGAGCCTGCTTCAGATTGTGTGTCTCCCTCTCTCTCTACCCCTCCCCCACTCGTGCTCTGTCTCTGTCCCTCTCTCTCTCTCAAAAAATAAATAAACAAAAAAAAAATTTTTAAAGGAAGTTATGACACACAGGGAGACACCAGGAATGTGTGTGCCCCAAAGAAACGACCTTGTGAAGACACTAGGAGATACCAGGAATATGTGTGCCCAAAGGAAAAGAAGGCAACTGTCTCCAAGTCCAGAAGAGAGGCCCCAGAAGAAACCAGACCTTTGTCCTAGACTTGTATCCCCCAGAGCTTTCTGTGGGGTCACCCAGTTTGTGTGTGACTGTCATTCTATTACAGCCCTAGAAAATTAATACAAGCACCTTTATCTGCAGAAGCCTTTTCAAAGAGAGGATTGGTATGTTCAAATAGGGCCTTTAGAAGTCTAAGTATGTTGATAGTGTGATCCTTTAATTATCTTAATAATCTGAGGTTGTTTTGTTTAACAGTCTCTTTTTTGGACCATCATAAAAGATAACTTATTTTGTTACTTTGACCAAGAAATCTAGGGGTCTAGAGAGTGAAACCCAGCATACTCAAACCAGTTAGTGCCACATTTATTCAGTAGACCATGCAATATTCCCAAAGGGGGAGAGATGTGATTTTCCTCTGGCAAGAGGAATAAAACTATCAAATCTGTAATAAATAGAAATCCTTTTACCTTTCACACATTTTCATAATTTCCCCTGCTGCTTCAGCTAATTAATTATCAATGCTATTTGTGTTTAGACAAGGGGGTTTGTCTCCTTCACAGCCCATCTGCTTCTTGGTAACCTTGCTGTGAAGTCATTGCAAAGCAGAGTTGCTGATAAAGCTATCATCTCCATGGCAACCCGCTGCTATGTCACAAACACAGGAGTGTGACCTCACTGAAGTTAAAAGGAGAAATCAAACTGGTGTCTGTTGTGTGAAGCGATAAGAGTTTTTAATCAGACACACAGTTTACTTATTTATTTTTCAGAAATACAGGAGAGAAGGATCCTTCTAGAGGAATGTTACTGCAATAACCTTGCTGCTAATTACTCAGTATGAAATGAAGATTTTTATGTTAGGAACACAATATAAATGTATAGCTGCTTATACTTATACTTATTGGGTGACATGTCCTATGAAAATATGCTGTGATTCAGAGAGGTCTTTTCTGGGCAGATTCCTCCTTTCTTCACTTGGCTTTGCATTTATTTCTATTTATTGTCTTAATAATGGCAACAACTAGCGTATACTACTTACAACTTGTCAGATCCAGCAACCCATGAGATAGGGACCATTGACTCAATTTTATACATGATGGAACGGAGGCTTAGCAAGGTGGGGGACTTGTTGAAGGGCACTCACACACAGGTAGAGTGGTGGAGGTAGGTGTGGAGCCCTGAACTATGCCTACTAAGCCGGGCTCTTCCCCACTGTGCTGGATACCTGGCTATGTATCATTTACCCCTCAACATAGGCTTTGCTGTAGATTCTTTTTGCTGGAAAGAATTTACAGAATGAGAATTTAGTTCCATAAAATCTTACCAGTTGTTAGACAGTGATGAAATTTTAGTAATAAAAGAATTACAGGGTATCAGAATTGATTTTTTCTAATTCAGTTTTATAGAGGAGAAAACTTAGTTACTTAGAGGAGTTTTTACCCAAAGCAACTCAAGGATTATCTGCTGCTACTTTGATCACTTAGAGTTAACAGTTACAAGCTATTCTTGCAAAAGTCTGTATCCATCCCACTTTCTCTAGCATGTGGAAATGACTGTGGTAGTGCCCTGGGGGTGGCTACCTGGCTGTGCATCAGAATGTCTCCGGACAGGTCACCCCAAATGCCCAAACAAGGGTGCTTGTTCTGCTCAGACATCTGTAAGATAAAACCTCAGTTCTAACCAGATAACCTCTTGAAATCCCTTCCTGTTTAGACATCCTGCAGCCTGCAATAGGAACAACAAGATAAACAAACAAACAAAAGCCAGCAACAGAAAAGTATAGATTTTGTTTTAAATGCCAGTTTTGTGATTCCATTTTACTTCCTTGACAGGATAATTTAGGACAAGTCAGAATTCCTTAAAAAAATCAGCTTGAAGTTTTTCCTTAGGGAACAGTAGTACTTCATCTGTTTTATTAACTGGGATTAACTAAGTAGAAATTAAATTAGTAAGAGCCTAATTCAGTGATTTCTCTTTTGTTTACCCCAATGGCTCTAAACAGGTTAGTTTCTTTCACATCCAACTAATGACACCTTTATTTATCCTGCAATCATCCTATGACTGTTTGGTTATACATCTCCTAGCAAAGATGACACTCCTTGTGTGATATTTACCAAGTTGAGAAAGAAAGCAACTTCTCCCTTGCTTATTGCATCCATTTGTAGCACAGCCCATATACTGAGAGGGAATTATGACATGTAGCCACAGAGTGTATCTCCTAAGAGAAAGAGCTAGTGAGAAGGTGAATTCTGAAATCGACCCACAGGAACTGTTACCATAAGTTCTGATCAGCCTGTTATTTTCTTCCTTGGATGGCTGGTTAACTAGTTACTCAGTTGTATAACGCAGGCAGTAAATATCGTAACCTGGAAGTGTTGCATCTCTCCAGCTGTCAAAGAGCTAAAGCAACAACATCCATTGAGCATTTGTTGTGTGTGCACGTACTAGAAACTGGTAAGAAAAAACTAAGAGAAGAGTGTATGTGGCAAGGACCCTGTAATTCCTTATAATATATGGGAGGTTGGCAGGTCCCAACAGAAGCCTAACAGCTAAAGGGACACAGAGTCAAAGATTATGGCAATTGTCATGCTTTGGTGTGTTTAGAAGTGCTAGGTGTGGTAATAGAAGATATCAGACAAACGGTGTATTAGGTAGTAATTTTTAAACACATGATTAGAAAGAGCAAATACAAAAATAGCATATTCTGAGCATTTAGTATGTGCCAGGCACCACACTGAGAATCGTACATTCTTACTGTCATTTAATCCCTTCAACAAACCTGGGACATAGGCTTAGAGCTAACCCATGAGAGAAAGAATTGAGGTTTGAGGGGTTAAGTGACTTGTGCAGGTCAGTAGGGAATAAATTGGTGAATTTCAGAACCTGTGTATTTCAGAACCTGAAAATTTATGACAAATTTATGTCTCCTGGAAAGATCCAATAGGGAAATGGCAAAGATACAACACGGAGATGAGAATAAGTATCCTGTAAGAGATGCTTCAAATTCCCTTTATTCCATTCCCCTCATTTGGATTGACCTAGGCATAGCAGGATAGACTGACCCATACAACTTTACTGTGATTGCTTCAGATTCATTTTTTTTTTTTTTTCTCTTGTAACACTAGAGAAAGACATGCCAGCACAGGTTGCTTGAAAGTACTCTCCCTTTTTTGGAATCTTTCACCTTGAACACACTTGTCTTTTAGGAATTAACTGAGTTGAATAGAAAAACTCAGCATGATTACTATATTGATAGAATTGATAGATTTTATTTTTTACCTACATACCTGGGTACTTAAAACTGCAAGTAGTTTGTAAGCTGCTGTTTAAATATCTTTGCCTCGGGGCGCCTGAGTGGCGCAGTCGGTTAAGCGTCCGACTTCAGCCAGGTCACGATCTCGCGGTCCGGGAGTTCGAGCCCCGCGTCGGGCTCTGGGCTGATGGCTCAGAGCCTGGAGCCTGTTTCCGATTCTGTGTCTCCCTTTCTCTCTGCCCCTCCCCCGTTCATGCTCTGTCTCTCTCTGTCCCAAAAATAAATAAACGTTGAAAAATAAATTCAACATTTAAGAAATAAATAAATAAATAAATAAATAAATATCTTTGGCATTATATAACATCTATAAATCTATAACATTCATATGTTTTCTGATATTAATAATTCACTCAGTCTACTTGTTTATACCGTTGTGCTCTCATTTATCCCTGGTAACACTAGAGAAGGAAAGACAAAAAAAAATGGACAGTTAAGAGACTTCAACTAGCTGTCCTTGTAGCTGAATAAGTTAGATTTGGAAAGATGGGAGTAGAAATTACCTGTTGGCCTTAAAGTTTAGATTATAAATTGGAAGCAACTGGAGGCTCCCAGACATAACTTATCAAGGATGTTGTATAAGCTAAAAAAAAAAAAAAAAAGTGCTGTTGAGCTTTTCTTTAACTATATAAACTCATAAATAATTTATATTTCTAAAAGAAAAATGGAGAAATAGGATTGAACTATGCACAGTATTATGTAATTTGGTATTTTTCACATAACACTACAGCTCAGACATAAAGTATACATTATAAATAAATTTATTTCATTCATTTTAATCACAGCATAGTGATTTACTCACTTTATATTTATGGATTTAGATTGTTTCTAGGTTTTGTTTTGTTGGTATGGTTTGTGCTGTTTTGTTTTGCTGCTACAAATAATGTTACAGTGGACCTCTTTATACATATATTTTGCCAAATTGGTGAATATCTCTGTAGAATAAATATCTAGAAGTCCAATTGTCAGGTCAAAGGATAGGTAGATTTACATTTTTATAGATAGTGCCAAAAGCTATACAAAGTGCATCAATTTAAACCTTCAGCAGTGCATATCTAGTGTTTCAATATAATTTTCTTGTGTATTAGGTAATATCAGTGTTTTAAATTTTTACCATTTTGATGTATAAATAAAGCATTTAGGTTAAATTTCTTTATGGGGTGCCTGAGTGGCTCAATCGGTTAAACGTCCTACTTCAGCTCAGGTCATGATCTCACGGTTCGTGAATTCAAGCCCCGGTCAGACTCTATGCTGACAGCTCGGAGCCTGGAGACTGCTTTAGACTCTGTGTCTCCCTCCGTCTGCCCCTCTGCCACTTGCACTCTGTCTCTCGTATTGTCTCAAATAAACATTATTTTTTTTTAATTTCTTTAGTTATGACTGAGTTTGAACATTTTCTTATGTTAATTGAGCATTGGTGTTTTTTGTCTTCCTGTACATTTTTTGTTTTTTGTCATTTTCTCATTTCCTATCAAATTGTTTTAAGATTTTATTTATATAATTGTTTAATGTAAAAAGTGTTAGTTCTAGAATATCATATAGGTTAGATATAGTTTTCTCAGTTATCATTTGTGTTTTAACTTGGTTTATGATAATTTGAGGAGTGGGTAGGAGTTTGAAATTTTACATAAATTTATCAATTTTTTAATGATTTTTTTTTTTTTTTTAGTTTTAATTCTCTACCTCTGGAATTTAAGAGGAAAAAAAAGTCACATATTTTCCTTTTGTCCCTATGTAATACCATTCTTCTTCTCTTTATATGTTTATTAAACCTTCTATTTGTTCTATATGTTTATTAAACCTTCTATTTATTTTCATGTGAGATATAAGAAGGTGATCTAAACTTTTTTTTTTTTTAGTCACTAGCCAGTTGTCCCAACAACATTGCTATATAATTTACCTTTTGTTCACCTTTATCATGTAATAAATTCCCTTAAGCATTTATCTCTGTGTATGATTTCTCTTTGCATTGATCTTCTGATAATCCAGTACAAAGTAATTTAAATATTATAGTTTAATATGTTTTAATATTTAGTAGTGTCAGTTTCCCTTCATTATTATTTTCATAGTTATCCTAACTTTTCTGCATGCTTTCATTTTCCATAAAAAATTTGAAATTATCTTGGTACTTGGATTGAGATTATGCTAATTTCATAGATTAATTTAGTGGGAAATGCTATCATTTCAATGTTGAATCTTTACGTAAGCCTAAATTATGTATTTCCATTTATTCACTTTTAATTCTGTGGGGAAACTACACAGAGTATCTTTTTAATATATTCCTTTCCTATTTTCTCCATAACCTCTGTAAGTGCTTAGAGAAAACTATGTTGTTCACCTAATGTCTAATATGTTTTGCTTTTCATTACTCATTCCATTTTCCTGATATCATTATTTATTTTCTCATTTAACCTTGGAAATTTCAAAATTCTGCCACAGTGAATTAATTCTTCCTAATCCTGGAGACTAG